GTATATTAAAGTTTCTCTTCATTACCCATTCAAGCCGTCTCGGGCCATTATTAGTCTCAAAGTGGGTTCCTCGTCACTGAAGTTGATCAGTCTGTAAAGTCATCTAAGCAGTGTGCTGTTGCTAGTGGTAGGGCAAATAGGATTTTATGTTGTATCTACAGAAATATTGAATACAAGTCTAAAGAGGTTATAATTTCATTGTATAGGTTACTGGTTAGGAATATTTGGAATATTGTGTTCAGTCTTGGGCTCCTTACCTTAGGAAGGACATTGAATTGTTGGAAAGGGTTCAGAGGATGGTTACTAGAATGGTGCCTGGGATGGAGAGGTTGTCATATGAAGAGAGATTAAGATCTCTGAAATTGTTTTCTCTTGAAAAAAGAAGAGTTAGGAGGGATTGAGGTGTTTAAAATTGTAAAGGGAATTTACAGTGTTGATGCATCATCTTTTTTTCATAATTAAGAGTGAGAATAGTTGGACTAGGGTACACAAATATAAATTTTGGCAAGGTAGGAGTCATCTTCAGACAAGACAGTTTCATTTTTCTAACAGTGTGGTTGGCCTTTGGAATGGGTTGCCTTCAGATGCTGTAGGCAATAAATTTAAGTGAGTTTAAGGTTGATAAGTATATGAATGATAAGAGCTGGTTTTAAGATTTTTTTTTTAATATTTTAATTTAGTTTTGAGGATGAAACAACCAAGATGGATTAATATGTCCCATGTTGTCCCAAAACATTATGTTATGTTAAGTCATGTTTTATCTTGACTTAACATAACATAATGTTTTGGGACAACATGGGACATATTGGTTATCTTATATTTTAATAAAACGATTACATCAAACGTTTGTTTCTATCATATCCTTTTGGGTTTTCAATCTTAGAATTATTTTGATCATTGGTGCCTAATTTTCAAAACAATAAGTACATGTTTTTTTGTGTATGTTAAATGCTTGTGAGGAATTTATCGTGAAAAATAAAACAGGTTCAAGTAATAACTTTAAGGAATTAGACCACTCTTTAAGCTAATGATAAGACATGTAGACCTATGACTGACCATATTCAAACGTATTTTTAGTTCTATTATTAGAATTATATTTGATAGCAGTTTATGTTTTACATTTAAGCAAAATATGGCAGCACCTGCAAAAAAACCAAAAATGTAAGTGAAATAATACATATATTTAAAGATTAGAACTTAGATATTGTACCGTTACTCAAAACATAACTTTTTCTAATTGAAAAGAAATATTCTGTAATTAGAAGTAATACATATTTATTGTCAACAAACATATATATAACTACCTGACAATATCATTTATTTTCACATTGGGTTGAGTGTTGAAAGCATGTTTCTTAAAATAAACATCTTGGAAATAAGAGTTCATGTTCAGTCCTGAAGATCCAAAATGGTAAGTCCTAGATATGTCAGGAACAACACATTCCCGTCCTTTTCTGATGTCTGGGAGTCGCATCCACATGTCCCAGTCCCATAGCTGAAAAGTGGCACAATGTATATTTGCAGGTTTTATATTGTAGCACAAAAAAATAAAATATTTATATAAATAATTTTTTTAAATACACATATTTTTATCATTACTGCAAATTAAAAACATTATAACCCCTTCACTGCAGTAGCAGTGTTTAAACACTGTACAGAACTTTTATAATTATGTTATAATGTTGTGGATTCTTCTACGTAGTTTGAAGACCACTCAAACAGGTGGTTTATGATGTCACAGAGGAATTCTTTGTCTTGTGACATTATATTCATACACCTTTTAATTAGTAGCACTGAAAAGTTGCTTGCGGACATTTTTAGACATACTGCTTTCACTGACATAGGCATCCAATATTCATAGTTGATCTAGGATAAAGCTTAGGGCTTCTCCAAAATTTACTGCTTTGATTTTTCTGCAATGATAGAAAAGGAAATTATTTACAATTTGAAACACAATTATCCAATTTCCTGTTTTTTTTTGTTTTTTAAGTTCATCATGTCTAAAGATCACTATAGAGTTGCAGAAGTAAAACAGTAATTGTTGGAGAAGCCATAAGATATATCCTTAAACCTTTTTTTTTGGAAAGCATGTTATCCTTTGGAATATATATCTAGAAACATATATAATCTAACCACTAGAAAATTCAGGGATTCCTTTGTGATACATTATATGCATAATGAAGAGATACATCTGTTGGGGAAATAGTGAAAGAAAATTAATATATGCCATAAATTTTATGGCTCAACACACCATACAAACAGATATCATGCCATAAGCCATATGGTATTTTCAAGTGAAACTGAATTTCTTGGAGTGATAGATTCATCAAGATAATTATCAGAGTAGTTCTGAATTTCTCGGAAATAAATGACTTTGTAAGAATTAAATAAATAGACTGCACACAGTATAAAACAAAAATGAACAATCTTTATTATTTCACTAAACTTGTATACTTGCATGTTTGATGATGGATGATTGCTTTTACTGGATCAGAGATAGCTTTTATCAGAATGACTTGGCTGAGGTTATTTACCAGATTGCAAAACCTAACATTATTTACTTCAAAGGTGACATCAGACTTACCCAAAGTGACTAGTGATACTTACATAACTGATACATGTATTAGCACTCAGTAAATTAAAGTTAACATGATAGTCAGTGTTAATAAATTTTTAATACTTTAGGTTGATTAAAAAAAAAAACATTTCATGAATATATATATAAAAAAGGATTAAATTCAAGTGCTTTGATTCAGATGTTACTTAATAGGAAAAACAAATATTCTTTTAGGAAAAACAAATATTCAAAACCTTTTCTGGTGTTGGCCAATGAGGTTCAAGTTCATCTTTGTACAAGCTCCTTTTCAGAATCCAGCCTAACCCAGGCATTGTTTCCACACGATAAAGAAGGCTTGGGTCCTCACTGGTGTGTTCATAACCCTGTATTTAAATGTTTTTCTTTTTAAATATAAAATAAGGAACTATAAGAACTGTAAAAAAAGAATTGTAAACACTGAATATAACTATCTTAATAGTAATATTATTCGTATTTCCTTCTAAAACATGTGAAAATGTTTTATATCTTGTATTAATAGTTATACACACTGAGAAATATTTAATGGAAAAGAAACATAAATATGAAGCAACTCACCTGATCATTCCATGCTGACACACAATATACTGTTTTGTCTTCATCCAAGATCCCTAATGTTTGACTGAAGTAGCTGAAAAAACAAGCTCAAAGTTTAGAAATCACTGCATTGAAAAAATATGGAAATTGTTTTAAAATTTACTTTCAAAACTATTTATAAAACCTCCATAATCCTTATATAACTTTAGGGGACAGAAACATGAGAAAAACTTAGATAATACATATCAAGATGAAAGTTGTAGAATTAGCATATTTGATTAGCATATGATTTGAAAAAAAAGTCACCCTTTGTGCTGTACAAAAAATTCCTAACTCAAACCATTAACTTTAGCTTTTCACATTTCTATTAGTATGATTCCTTAATTTTGAAAAATAGTACTTTTATGATGTTTTCTGTTGTTGGGTGGGTTATTTTGGATTATTTAGTAAAAATAATAATAACGGGAAGTCCTGTCTACTTAACAGTAGCAAAAACACTATTTCTTCAACTTCAATTTCTACATTTAATAGAACCCATGTTCATTGAGTGTTAGGCCTAACTCACAAAAACATTAGGTCTAATAGAAATTCCACTCACTTGCTAATTTCATATTCCTATTTAATAGTTGAAATACAACCTCAATAGTGATGGCACTGAACTAACTAAATGACTAAGAGTAACAGACAAATTAATCAACTAAATCATGCACAGATATAGTGATGTATTTGGGTGCTTATTGAGAGAGCTTGGTTTGATTTGATTTGAATTTTGCACAAAACTACACGAAGGTTATCTGTGCTAGCTGTCTGTAATTTAGCAGTGAAAGACTAGAGGGAAGGCAGCTACTCATCATTACCCACCTCCAACTCTTGGGCTACTCTTCTGCCAACTAATAGTGAGATTGACCATCACATTATAATGCCCCCATGACTGAAAGGGTGAGCATGTTTAGTGGGACAGGAATTCAAACCCACAACCCACAAAGTGGGAGTCAAGTGCCTTAACCACCTGCGAGAGATCTTATTAGAATAACTATATCTCCATAAAATGGGTCTGAGATTAATATATAAGGACAATAACTTATTGGCTTGCTAGACTACTCCTCCAGATATGACCCTTTAAGTTTGAATTCTTTCTTACATTTGTTACACTTGATAATGCTGAGTTAATTTAAGCAAAATTTTTTGTGTACTCTTTCTATTTCTCAATAAACTCAATGTTATATGCCATTAAAAACTGTAGTTATTCTATCTGAACAGACCCAGCCCATGGGGTGAGCAACATGTGGCACCACACAGGACATTGCAGTTAACAGTTCTTCTCAATTTTGCAGGGGCAGAGGCACCAAAAACAGAGTTTGCACATGTCACAATATTGCCTAGGGCTGGCTCTGAAGTTACTTTATCTCATACTGATTAAATCATGCACTGCCTCATTCACAGACTGATTTAACTTGTTTTCTACTCTAACCTGCTTTTATATATGGTTCAAATTGTTTCACACACTTTGGAGAATATTCCAAACATGAAGGCCATATCCATTAAGTTATCTGAAACTTCCCTCTGGCTAAACAATAATAATACAAATTTCTGGAAATATCCAGATTAAGAAACATAGAACACAACAATACTCTTGAAAGTTTCAAACTCGTATTTGGTACCATACCTTGATTAAATAAAAAGCTCAATCACATTAATTTTTGATAGACTTTAAAGCATATAAACAACCAACAGTCAGTGTTATCAATGTTAAACTAAATTAGATTAAAAATCTATTAAAATGTAAAACTTAAAATTTTGTGAAATATTACAGAGATGTCAAATGAATAATTTCACACTCTGGTCTCAATTATTTCATAAATTGTTCTTATGTTTCAGCTACTTGTAACCTAAAATAAAATTTTTCATACTGTTATGCTTTTTTTAATTTATAAAACAAAAATACTAATTACCTGAAGAAATCTGGGGACACATCCAAATCTTCTTCTATAATTATTGCATATTTAGCATCCTAAAAGAACAAAAACAAACAAATAATGATCAACTTATCAACCTGATAATCACTTAAGACATTACACTATCCATATTGTTCAATTTTTTACAGTAATGTTTTAAATGTTTAAATCAAATTTTAAAGTAAAGCTGTGTTAAATTAGATTGTCGTGAAATATTGATAACAGATTCTACTTACAGGAAATAAGTTAAAAGATGCAGTCAAGCTGGCCTTGTAATGTTGCGAGATCCTTGCATTTTTCTGTCCTATAGGTGTGTGCTGTGGAAAGAATCTTTGAGTTGTTATTTACTTTTGAAATGCACGAGTTGTTTGGAATAGACATATTCATAGTTTTTACTTTCAACAATAAAACAGGATTAAAATTATAATTATCATTTATCATGCTGTACAGCTGAGGGGTGAACTGTACCACCAGATCTTTACAAAATAAAACAAAGAACTTTTATCAGCATAAAGTATCCAGTTTGAAAACTAAAACTGTGGGCTTCAGTACTCTAAAATTCTGAACTTATAAAAAAAGTAATTTGTAAACAATGTAATGAAAGTATAAAAACAAAACACTGTTACTCTGTTCACAGAGATAAACCATACAACTTGGCATCCAAAATAGAACAATTAACTATCATTTTCAAATCACATCATTTACATACACACATGAAACACACACACCTGAAAACTCAACTCCCAAATGATGAGGCAGAAAATATTGCTTCTTGTTTTAAAAAATTAAGCATTAGTAATGTGACAAGTTCTGTACATTCAAAGCATATTCAGAAACCATGGCAAGATATAAAAATAGATGATGTACCTGTATCATATATATATACACACCCATAAATATTCTATATGATATTAATTTGCATTATTAAAATGCTCCTCATCAAAACAAGAAACCAATGGCACGTGGCATGGGTATTGATCTTTGAGGCTGAACTGAATATGTTAAAAAATTAATATTTTTTTTTTCTACTTGACTTACCTGAATACCTCTTAATCCAAACAGTCTAGTTACTTCTAGAGGCTCCTAAAAGATCAAAAGTAATTTTGAAATCAAACTATATTTTTCTGACCATTTCATGAAGCGACAAGTAGATAAATTGTAAACAAAAAATGCACAGGTTTAACTGTAGGTAATATGTGAATACTGAAGCACACTAATCAACAGATTGTGATAAAAGTTTAAAAAAGGAAAAACAAAAAGTTAAAAAATGTTTTAAAGAAAGTACAGTAACTGAAACGTATATTTCAAGATAAAATTATAAGAATAAAATACCTACTTTAATATGAGTAGTAGAAGCTCTAAATGTAAAATTTCTGTTTAGGTATTTTAATTATGATGCATTTAATTTTAAATGGATATTTGGAATATATTCCCAAGGTAACATAGCTCAAGAATGTCATTTTCTAGCAGTACACGTAAAAATACATGATCCATAGGTTTTAAGTGCTTCATAATTAGCTTAACTTTCCAGTTAATTTTATAAGTATTAAAGTCATTTACTTTTCTTAATATTTTATAGAATATTCTAAACTTACTATATATGTACTAGAGATTAGGATGAGTAGTATACAACTAGTTATCAGATACCTCAAAATAACCATCAATAAACACTGTAACCATTTCTGCATTAGCTCCTTGTGCCGAAAGCAGAGAACGAAGCATCCTGAAATACATTACTCACTGTTGCATAAAAACTTCAAAAATATTTGCAAAAAGTACACTATAAGAAACTAGCCTTTCATATTATCCAAAATAACATATAATAATAATCATACATCTTTTGTAAAGTAAATATTTCTTGTCAAATTCACGAGGAAAAAAAAAAGTGCAGTTAATGGTTTTATACAACTACCCTGGTAAAAATCTGGAAGACAAATTACTCCAGTTAAAATGTTATCTTAATTTTTTCCCAAGACTTTTGAAAAACAACATATATTCATAATACAAGTTATTAAACAACATAGCAAATATTGATAAATATAATTAATTTGTAAAATAATCATCAAATCCAAAACAACCATCTGATCCTGAAGCCTAAAACTACCACACATGTGTATATGGTGTTGGAGTTATGCAGGGCAAATATGTAAACATACACTTCCCCCCACCTTTGCTTGGTCATTTTTTTAAAGTCATTTTATAATGTAACAGGATATTTTTTTAATATTTGAAAATCTGGTACAAAACTTCCATGGCAGTACTTGTACCACAACTAAACTCATTTGCTTGTACATAATGGCTAATATTCCACCCTTTCGTATGTGGGATTTTGCTGTAAAACTAATACCAATATCTTGTTTAATTTTGTTAAAAATATTCCACACAAATTCCCCGAATAATGCTAATAAAAAGTTCTGAATTCTATGGAAATAAACCTTTCATTCATAGGAATTAGTTCACACCTGTAAAGATAATGAGGTCGGTTGCTAGCAATGATTGCAACTGGCACATCATACACCCGACTGTTTGGGAGCTGCAGTATAAAGAAAGAAAACAATGAGAAAAAAATCTGAAACCTTTTTCAAGATGTTAAAACATGAGATAACACAAAGATCATGATCTCATATAACTTACATGCAATAAAGGTGCCTCAAGCATACATATTATAAATGGTGTCACACATGGTTTTTATGTGAACAAGTTTGAATCATAATATCTCATTTGCATTTACTGAGTTATCTTTATACCTACATTTAAGCAACTGAAGGTAGTGCAGTGGTATAACACTGAAAATGTCTACAATATTCTGTTAGGAGATAAACTTAATTCATTATGAATATACTTAGCCTACTATGTTAACATTTTGTAGTATCTTATGAATATTTTTCCCATTTTTAAATAGTCAAAAGATTTCAGAAAACATCCAGAAATCAGATCAAAATATATCCAAGTTCTCTAAGAGTTTCAATACTTTAATTACTATCTCAGTTTTAATTACCTTACCATTAGAGAAAGGAGCAGTTTAATTTACCAGTAAACCTAGAATTACAACTTACTGGTTCTGGAGAGAAGGTTACAGGAGCAGGATCAGAACAGCTACAAACGCTGCCATACCCTTCAATACGATTACAGAATGCTCGCCTCCGCTGATTTTCTTCAGTATCTGGCCAATCACATTCACTGTCTGATGAGAATTAAATAATTTTTATTTTAGCACTAATAAATATAACATTTTACATTACATCTGTTGATACATATAACTGGTCATTTATAAGAGGAAAGGCTTGACTTAAACACATATAAAGTATGGTAATTACATTTTTAATGATTATTAAACCAACAAATCATCCAAGCAGGATCAATCACAATTTTAAACTGGTTAAGTTTTCAGCTGTTTTTTTTGTTTTTTCAATAAGTACTAATAAAGCTTTGTCTTTCAGTTTTTCTTAATGACAGAAACTTGGGAAAACAAAACACATTAAATACATACAATGAATAAAAAAAAAGTTATTTGCAGATATGGAAATGGAATGAATAAGAGTTCATAAAATGTAACTTATAACTTATAAACAGTTGTCTGTTCCTTTTTTTAAAGCTAAAATCCCTAAAAATATAGTTAATAGTTTATAGTTAATAGTTTATAGTTAATTTGTAAACTAACTACCTTCCTTTCAAATATACAATGCACAATTTGAGTTTATCTATAGCACTAAATTATTGATGATTTCATTATTTTTTAAATAATGTTACACAAACTAACACACATTACCTTCCATTGGTACAAGGGGAACTTCTACTCGAAGGAGAACTGGGGCACCCCAACTATTAAACTCCGGGCTTTTGCTGTAGGATTCTCCAAACATTTTACCTGAAAAGAAGAGATATAGCATTAAATATTTTTCACAAAAATATAAATGACATCTTGATTATCTTATTTACTTAAAAGTACTACGATAAGATCTTAATCTGAATGAAATTCAAGATATACTTTACAAATACAAAAGCTTATCTTTCTCATAAATGGATTTATTCAACAAAAGTTAATAGATAAGTATATATATATATATATATACACACACACACACAGACACACATTACATTCATTTTTTTTTTGCATTTAATTGTTTGTTGTTTCAAAATTTGAATGCAAATAGCTATCCTAATGTTTGATCTGATAGACTAGAAGGAATGCAGTTAGTCATCAGCATCCTCCACTCCTCTTGGGCTACTCTTATTTGAATAAATAATGGAATTTGAATGTCACTCTTATAGCACACCTACAACCTCAAAGAGTAGAGCAAAATTTTGTGGTAGTTGAATACAAATAACAAATCCTTAAATTCACAATCAGAGCATGCTAATCACCACTTACCCATGCCTGGCCCTTACATTTAACAATAAAGAACCATGCACACTCCAACAATAGTTAATTATTAATGAAATGACTCTTCCTCTCTTGTACAATAAAATTATTTTGTTTTAAAATAAGAAAAAAATATATATATAAACCAGACTCGGCCACAGTTAATTGCAAAAATTAATTTATTAAAAGATAAGGTAATTGTGCAGTTTTATAATACAACAATCAACTGGGAAGAAACCGTTTGGTTAATTAATGATATTCACATTGTTCTGACAACAATAAATAGCTACAAATTCTAAGGGAAATTTAAAGGTTATTCTCATGCTACAGCATATTTCATATCATGCATTGACTAAGCAAACTTTTACATACAAATATACATACAATTTAAGGACAACAAGAGCAATCAGAGAGATTTCATACTCTCACCCTGCCGCTCCTTTTCAAGATTTTATGCATTTATTTTGGATAATATCAAATTTTACTTTCGAAAACTCAGAAAATCCTTCTCAGATCCAGAATGATCAATGATCCAGATCATTTTTTTTTTTTGTAGTGGGATGAGGAGTCTCAACCTCCATGTGCCCATGAAATTTGGTACAAATCTGATCACACTTTACATAGTTATTAATCCATAACCACGAAAGTGCCCTATCTCCCCATTATAACAAATGCTTCAAAGTGATCCAAAAACAGGATTTGAATTTGGATCAAATTTGGGGAGGACTGTCCTATACTGACTTCCCATCTGTGTAAAATCTATGTGTACATTGGTCTACTAGTTTTTGAGATGTGCATGAAACACAGACAGAAGACAAACACACAGACACAGTTGCAATACCCTTGCCCCATCCCTTCAGGTGTGAGGGTAACTAGGGACCTGCTGATCCATCTAGACCATCCCATCCACCATACTAACCTTGAAAATAAACATAAAACCAGACCTTATCATTTAAATACTGATCAAAGCCTTCATTTAAAATCTCTCAAATAAATTAACTGCACATCTACCACATATGAAGGCAATCCATTTGAAAAGCCAACTATCTTGTTAGAGAACTAAAGCTGTCTTAGCTGAAAATAGCTCCTATTCTGACAAAATTTATATTTTTGTCTCCTATTTTACCATTCTCACTATTAAATATACGAAAAAAAGATGATGCATCAACGCTATAAATTCCCTTAAAAATCTTAAACACCTCAATCAGATCCCCTCTAACTCTTCTTTTTTCAGGAGAAAACAATTTCAGAGATCTTAACCTACCCTCATATAACCTTTCCATCCCAGGAATCAATCACCCTAATAGCCTTACTCTGAACCCTTTCCAACACTTCAATGTCCTTTCTAAGGAAGGGAGCTCAAGACTGAACATTATATTCCAAATGTGGCCTAACCAGTTACCTGTACAATGAAATTATAACCTCTTTAGACTTGTATTTAACATTTCTGTAGATACAACCTAAAATCCTATTTGCCTTACCACTAGCAATAGAACATTGTTTAAATGACTAAAGAGACTAATTAACCAGAATATCAAAATCATTTTCTTCCATAACACTGTTAAGATTATTCTGATCAAAACTTTTAATTGATCACAGAAGAGAAAGTAGACATTCAATGATTTTCTGTTTATCACCAAGCATGAAAAGTTTCAGTCAATAAAGGTATCTATGTTTCACACAGTAGCCTTAATTTTCAAAATCTTAAGTTTAAATAGAAGCTATTTGATTTGTTTTAAACATGTCAAAACATGTTTCTAAATTAATTATCCAAGTAAACTTTAAGGTTCTTCTATAATTATTAAAACAATATTAACTATCTAAATAGAGTTGTAAATCATTCACATTATTTTATTTGTTGAGAATGGTCAAACAAATTACCTCCTTTCTGGGTGACCATGGCCCACATATCCCTCCAACCTATTACATGAGATTTTTTACTCCCTAATCTCTTCATTAGGTCTCTTGCTGGCTGCTTCATCTGGAATGTACCCTCATCCTAAGCAAAGTATAATGTAAGTATGCTATGTAATACAAGATGGCGCCACTAATGAAATACTCACAGTACTATTCTTAAAGGGAGAATTATCAAAAAATTACATTTCTATAAAATAAAATAATTCAGCTTATTTGGGCATAAATCGTTTACCCCTTTCATCAATAAGACTAGCCCAACTGTAACTTATGATATAACGAAAACCCAAAGACAAGTTAACTATTTAATCAGTAAAATTACAATTTAAGAACCTTTTGTATCAAACATTAAAGTTTAATAAAAGTTTAATCCCAAAAATGTGAATAACAATTTCCCCATAATAACCAAATAACAATTTCCCTATAATAATCAAATAATGAATTTCACTTTTAATATTTTAATAGAAAACACACACAGCTTCTAGATTACACATAAATATATAAAAATTAGTATTTTATCAATAAATCACCTAATTACCTTAATAGTGAAGATAATTATTCTTCCATCTGAAACCATATTCAAAAATAAAGACATAGCCTCATCTTCATGGGGTGAATAGGTGTCAAACATTCTCTGAGCCATCACACTACCCTATAAATGAAAACATGATGATCAATCATACTTTGGGATGTAGACAAAATTCAAGTGAACAGTGATTATTATTTTTATTCCATTTTTTTTTTTTAGAAACTCATACATAAATAGCCTTCCCTACATCAGTTGATAAAATTATTCATTCCAAAAATTCTTGAGCTATGTTGTTCATGGTGATATTGCATGAACCAAACAGCTAGTTTTATGGGTTTTATAAGTAACTTGTATTCAATTCTTTCTTTAATATCAGTTTCATTATAAAAGTATGTACTGGTTAAATTACTTAATATACTGAAAAATTACTTAAATGAATTACTTAATTCATTTTATTATTTTCCATTTTACATATCTTTTTATCATAAGGATTATATTACACTGTAGCTCAGTATATGAACTTCATATTAACTTAAATCCCTTAAGCTGGCCAAACCTCGTGGGATACAAATGGGATTGCAGCCAAATATATTGCTAACAGCAAGGGTACGCAACTGATGAATAAATGTATTCTACTCATTATAAGTAAAAATAATATATAAAATTATATATTTTTATTAGTTACTTTATTTTTACTCCTGATCTAAGTAGGTAGCTTGCTTTGCTCAGAAGTTAATGATAAAAGAATAATTTACATATGTTAATCAAGTCTACGTATGACAGAAGTTTTGAACAACCTTAAAAGAACTAGCTGAGAACTACTTGGCAATTATACCCGAGATACTGAAAAAAAACAAAAAAACATCAGCTTGAGGTACCAAAGTTAACATTTTCTCCTGCTAGCATATACATAGAAGTATAAGAAATAAAATAGATGACTTTAGAGCACTGGTAGGAAAGGAGGATTTTGATATAATGGGAATAATGAAACATGGTTAAATGTAGATGATTTTGATGACAGAATTTTTTTGAAATAAAGGGTTACAGGCTATTTAATAGGGATAGAGTATTAAAGAGGGGAGGAGGAGTGGCTTTATATGTAAAGTGCGAGTTACATCCTGTTGAAGTTGAGGATATCAAAGATAATATCAAAGAGATTGAATACATTTGGATTTCTATTAGTGGATATATAGGGAAAAGGATTTTAGTGGGAATTTGTTACAGACCAC